GCGGCGGGGCCGGCAGCGGCGGCGGCCGCTTGATCTGGTCCTGGCACGGGCTGCACCATTGGGCCCTCCTCGATCGGCTTGGCTCTGACACTGTGATAGCGAATTGCAGCGGGGCGGAGTGGGTCAGCGCGTGCGATGTTTGGGGCCCCGGGGGCGGGGGGGAGGGGGCGCCTGAACCGCACAAATCACCCTTCCGCATGCTGGCGTTTGCGCCGCAATGCAAAATCCTTCCAGTCTGCCTGGGTGCATGATGTGACAACAGTCTGCCCGTCTTGCAAATGCTAGGGTGGTGCAACCCTGGAGCGACACACCCCCACCACCAGTAGTGGCAGGTGCAGGCAATCCACATATGGGCTGACGTCAGACGCAAGCGCCACTCACTTGGGTGGCGGCACGCTGGGCGGCGGCAGGCACGACGCCCCCACGCCCCGCCCCGCCGCGACGGCCGCGAACGCCCCGAGCGGCCGTGCCACCAGCTCCGCGGCCGCCGCCCCCGGCTCCAGCAGCTGCTCGGCAGCTTCCACCTCGAAGAGCGCGTGGTAGGCTCCAAAGCAGGGATCCACCAGGGCCGGCGCCGCGGCGCTGCCGACAGCCGCACCAGCGGTCGCGGTGAAGGCGCCCCCGACGGCAGGGGTGATGACGTCACCAGGGGCCCCTGACTGCAGGGACCGGCAGACCTCCAGCAGCAGCGGCTCGCCGCACTCGAGGGCCGCCTGCAGAGGCAGCAGGCGCGGAGCAACGCCCCACGGGCGTAAGCCATGGGTCGGCGCTTGCCTCCGCTTCAGCTACGTATGTGGGCGCCTGATGAGCTCACGCTGCCGGTGCAGCACTCAAGCAGGCAGTCTGCATGCAAGCAGCCACCGCGCGCGACAGCAACATCCCGTGCAAGCAGCAGGCGCAGCAGGCGCAGCAGGCGCAGGAGGCGCAGCACCAGCAGCCGCAGCTGGCACAGGCGCCCGCCCGGCGAGCCCGGCGCGGACCCCACTTTCCTTCCGACACAAACCCACCTTCAAGGATTCAACCAGGTCCGGCGTCAAGTGCAGCCGCCTCGCCGCGCCGCCGCGCCCGCCGGCGCCGCCACCGGAGCTCCACGCCACCCTCTGCTGCGGCCCCGCCCCGACCTCGCCCGGCGGCAGCAAGACCCGCCCCGCGCCGCGCGGCAGCAGGAGCGCGGCGCCGAGGGAGAGCGCGCCGCCCGCGGCGCGCTGGGCCGCCGCAAGCGCCGGAGGCGCAGGGGCGAGGGAGAGGGGCTCGACCTCCAGCACGTTGCAGCCGGAGGCGTGTGCGGCCGGCACAGCGTCGAGCGGCTCCAATCCCTGCGGCGCTGCGGCGGCGGCAGCGGCGGCGGCCGCCGCCGCCGCGGGCGCTGATGCAGCGGCAGCTGCCGACAGCGGCGCGCCCGCCGCCGCGGCCGGGGCCTGGGGCGGTGGTGCGGTAGCTGGCGGCTTGTACTGATGGAGGGAGACGGTGGCACTCAGGTCACAGGCGCGCGGCAGCACCCTGTATAAAGGCGGCTGCGCTGCCGCGCCCCTGGCAGCGGCGCCGGACCCGGCGCCGTCCGGCGGCGCAGGCTCGACGGGCCTAAGCTGCAGCGACTCGACCGTGATGCTGTTGCTTCCCAGCCCAAATGGCAGCAGGTCAACCTCTGCAGTTGCCAGCACGGGCGCCGCCACTGCTGCGGCAGCCGCGGCCGCTGCTGCTGCGGCGGCGGCTGCCGCGGCCGCCGCCGGCGACGGCGGCACCAGGCCGCCCGACGCGCTGCTCGCGGCCGGCGGCGGCGCGACGTGCTGGCGCACGCTTATGACCATGGGCGCGCTGATCAGCGCCTGCGCCAGGCCGGGTCCCTTCTTATGGCGGAAGCAGCACTCCAGGTCGAACGCGTACCGCCCGTCGGCGCCAAGCGGCGTCGGAGCGCTGCGTTGCGCGTCCGCGGCGCCGTGCGCGGCCTCCAGCACCAACAGCGGCGCGGACGCTGCATCGCTCAAAAGGTGCGTGCCCAGAGGATCTTCTGGCACCACCATGGCCTGGAATAGTATATATACCAGCCGGATGCTTGGTCAGAGGCCGGGTCAGCGTTGTGCATCGAAAGATGGATCAGGCAGCCAGGTGCCCAGGCCCAGCAGCCCCGACTCACAAGCGCGATCCTGCATCCTCGTATCTCCGCCTTCAATACAGCGTCCTGCGAGAGGTCCTCCACCACCGGGGCCTGAGCCTTCGTTTTGCGCAGCTTGGCCACGTCTGACATCTTGACGAATGGATAATCAGCATGAACGTACCATTTCATTACACTTACGGTGGGGTGCGACGAAGGTGGCCCAAGGACGAAGAGGGGGCCGCTGCTTTCAGCTCTAGCTGCCATGCTCCCGAGCCTACTTGCAGCCGGAGCCAACTCTTTGCCCCCTTTGCAGGCTACCGTACATCTGCTGTACAACCACCCAGGCTGGTGAGCCCAATCGCGCGGCCATTGCATCGGTGTTGTAACTGCCATGTTACTTCCAGGTTCAAGGTCAAAGATACGGTCACATAGGCACAAACCGACAAAACTGGGCAGGCCACAGCTGCCTTGCTGGTTGTTGGTCGGACGACTCTGATAGCAACAACAGACATAAGGAGGGGCACCAAGACGCTCACGCAAAAATGAGAGGACGCCAGCAACGGAACGGCGGGCCGCCGGCCGGGGGCGCGCCCTCACTCTGGCGCCTGGGGGATGGAGGGGTCCTTCCTCTCCGGCCCGGCGGGGTCCTCCCCTGGCTGCGGCTCCGGCTCCGACGGCTCGCCCGCCGGCGCCTCCGGGTCAGGGTCACCCTGTGGCGCGCAAGGTTTGGAGGGGGGCGTGTCCGTCCGACTTCCCATGACACGCTCTGTCGCCGAGCGGCGGCCGCATGCGCGCGGTCTGGATCACGTACATGCGTAGCTGCATCACATACATGCGTGTCTGCGTCACCCAC